GGAAGAGAAGGGATGGGAGGGGTTGGGAAGGAATGGGATAGGACAGGGTAGGGTAGGAAAAGAAAGGATGGGATGGAAGAGAAAGGGGGGGATGGGATGGGATGGGAGAGAAAGGGAGGGATGGGGTGGGAAAAGAAGGGATGGGATGAGATGGAAGAGAAAGGGTGGGATGGGAAGGAATGGGATGGAACAGGGTAGGGTAGGAAAAGAAGGGATGGGAAGGAATGGGATGGGATGGAAGAGAAGGGACGGGATGGGATGGGAAGAGAAGTGATAGGAATGGGATGGGGTGTGGTAGGAAGAGAAGGGATGGGAAGGAGTGAGATGGGATGGGGTGGGATAGGGTAGGGTAGGAAAAGAAGGGATGGGATGGGGTGAGATGGTATTGGGGCAGTGACGGGGGGTCCCCCCACCCCCGGGCACATCCTCGGGCAGGGGTGCGGATCCACGCCGCCTCCCCCCAGCTCAACGCCTCCGATGACCGGGGTATCGACATTGTCCGAGGGCCCATCCTGAGCTTCGCCAGCACCAGGACCATCTTCAAGTGAGTGGCGGGTCTGCGCTTCCCAAAGCTCCCCCCCCTTCCCCGCCGCGGCCAAAGTCCCCCCCCTTTTTTTCTCCCTTTTGAAGGAAAGGCTTCAAGCTCGTCATCCTGGACGAAGCCGACGCCATGACCCAGGACGCCCAGAACGCCCTGAGGCGAGGTGAGGGGCGCGGGGGAACCCCACGCCGCTGGCACGCCGTCTGCCGTTGCCAGCCCGGACGAGGCCCAGCCTCTCCTCCCCCCTCCCTCCCTGCAGTGATCGAGAAGTTCACGGAAAACACCCGCTTTTGCCTCATCTGCAACTACCTCTCCAAGATCATCCCTGCCCTGCAGTCCCGCTGCACACGCTTCCGCTTCGGGCCCCTCACGCCGGAGCTGATGGTGCCCCGGCTGCGGCACGTCATCCAGGAGGAGGGGTGAGCCCCCCGCCTCCCCCTTCTTCCCCCTTCCCCTGCGCAAGGGCAAGCCGCGGGCTTGGTTTTCCACGGTTGTGTTTCCCTCCGGCCGAGCTGCCCCGGCTGCGGCACGTCATCCAGGAGGAGGGGTGAGCCCCCCGCCTCCCCCTTCTTCCCCCTTCCCCTGCGCAAGGGCAAGCCGCGGGCTTGGTTTTCCACGGTTGTGTTTCCCTCCGGCAGCGCTGGTTCGCTCTGCAGCCCCCGGTCCTATTTTCCAGGGTGGATGTGACCGAGGACGGGATGAAGTCTCTGGTGACCCTCTCGAGCGGTGACATGCGCAGAGCCCTCAATATCTTGCAGGTACGGGCCGCCGCCGCGGCCGTTCTCCCTCCGTGTAAGCCAGCAGCCCTGGGGGGGGTCGGTGGAGGAAGGGCTGAGCTCTTCATCCTTCCTTCACCCTCCTCTTCCTCAGAGCACGGCCATGGCCTTCGGGAAGGTGACGGAGGAGAACGTCTACACCTGCACAGGGCACCCCCTCAAGTCTGACATTGCCAACATCCTCGACTGGATGCTGAACCAGGACTTTTCCACCGCCTACCGCAGTATCCTTTTCCCTCCACTGGCACTGGGGTTCAATCCTCTCTGCTGGGGCTTCCCGGCC